GACTCCGGAGCCCACGGAGAGTGAGAAAACTGCAGCTCACATTTTAAAGTCTCCCAAGGGATCAGCCAGCGTGTCATTTGCAGGATCTATCTCTCCGTGATGCCTACACAACTGTAACCAAGCAAGCTCACAGTGTGGGAAGCAATCTGTAACGCAGATGGTAAATATTAAAACTCCCTGTTTATTAGTGTGTCATGCACGGGGATTAGGATGACAATAAGGCAGATTTGCATTTCAGCAGAGTACAGGCGTATTTGTGTGCCTCTGGGTGTCCCAATTCTCCTGTGAATTTACTGTCCTTGAATGTAAAGGCCAGATTAGGCTGGGACTTGAGGTCAGTGAGGCTTAAGCTGCAGCAGTATGTGCTGCGAGGCTTTTAGGGATCACTTCTTTCTTGTAACATTTCCCTGTGTGGCAGTATCTAAGTGCTCCACAAGCAGGGCATTAGCTCTGTCCCAGGGAAGCAGCACTACTTGCTAAAAGTAGGGGAAGAGAATGGAAAGAAAGGCTAAAAAGCCCCTTCGGAGCCACCCACCCCTCCCAGCCAGACGTGGTGCCAGCAGCTTGCAGAGGCTGCTGGAGCTCTGAAATTCAAGCTTTGCTGTAGTGCTGTGCTCAGGATTAGCTGTGAATCCTGATGAGTGGGGCACTTCATGTAAGTCTAGCATAGTTATTGCAGGGTGTTGTCTTTCATAGCCCCAAGCCACTTATCTGATATTTACAGCTTGTTCACAGCCGTATTCAATAATCAAAGTATCTAACGCAGCTTTGTGTTAGCAGGAGCCGCCGGGAGCGTTACAGTCTTGGTTGTACCTTTTGGTGTAGTGGTCTCTGGTAAAGGAACCATTGTCTGCTGACAGTTGAGACTTCTGAACAATTTTTTAGCATCTTTTGAACTTTGAGTATTTCTTGAAGGCTGAATTGGAAGTTGAATTTTTCACTCTGGGTCCCCAGTGACAACTTACTTCTGGCCTGCTCCTGCTGGCTGTGGCTACTGGGTCACTGCTCAGGATCTGAACACGAGCACAGACTGCTGGCGAGCTGGTGACAGCAAGGTCAAAGCCCATTTTAATGTGCTGGCTTCATTTCAGTTAGAGATCAGTCCTGACTTTGGGTTTGTCCTTGCTGTGCTTCAGTCCTGGCTCCCAGGGCTCTGTGTTTGTAGGTAGCTGTGGCTGCTGCCTGAGAACGTTCCTGTAAATTAAATGCTTGGCACTGTTTCTATCTCCAGGCTGCTGTCCTGCTTGCTTGCAATTTAAATCATTCTGTCTTTGGCAGGTGAATATGGAATAGGCCCAGCCAAAGCAGTGGGTGCTGCCAGGAGGCTGCAGCATGGGCCATGGCCTTGGGCACAGGACACCTCCAACCTCTGGCAACTGGGAAACCGAGCCAGGCGCCAGGGAGGGGAGTGGGGGGGGGTAGTGGGATGGCCATGGCTCAGCCTGGTGGCAGCAAGACAACCATGGCCATGGACTGAGCAGCGAGGGGTTCCTACACAGGCAGCAGGGAAGCAACGTGCTCTGCTGGGAGCTCATGGGCAGCAAACAAGGGTCACACTTAAACATGTTTCAGCATATGTGCAAGATCCACCTCGCTGCTGAACTGCACTTCCACCTTGCTCAGAGGTGTACAAGTATTTCCTAACTCTTACTTGCAGCAAACAATAGAAAGGTTAAAACTGAAACAGTGCTGAGGCAAAGCCCAGGCTCCCTAGCTGATGTTCCATATCTGAAGTTTTTCCTAGCCTGTCCGCATCAAAACCACTGTTTTACTCTGGAAACCAAGCGTGTATACTCGAGAGGATCCAGCTGATGCCTTTGTGCTACTGAGCACATAACATGACTAGCAAACCAGCCACAAAACCTTATTTTCTGCTGTCACACTGGAGATGCAGAGGCATCTGAACTACAGGGCTGGAGAGGTGGGAGCAGCTCCAAACACAGCAAAGACACAGATGGGTTTGCAGCGAGAACCTGGTGCTTCAGGTTAACGAAGGACAGAAAGGGTAGTGCTCTTACCTTGGTCAGAGGACTTGCCTCTTCAAGGCTGGCCCTGCAGGAATGGCTGTGGTCCTGGGAGTGCCCCGGGAGTGCAGCCTCAGCATAGAGCCTACCTGAAAGCCAGGCCTGTTCCTGGTGGCCCAGGAATGCTGCAGCAATCAGGGCTCACCTCAAGCAGCTCTTTGCATCTGGAGGGCCTGGGGATAGCATTTCCAGGCAGGATGGGATGCTGAGGGCAGGACAGGATGCTGAGGACAGGACACTACCTCACCTCGTTTCAAATACACACCTTCAGCAGCGAAATCTTGTTACAATGAACACAAAATATTTTGCAGATTATGGGATATCATGGTACAATTGCAGATACTAATTTTAAATAAAATTTGGTTTCAAATAAACTAGTCTATTAGAGGTAGATACTGCAAGTGGAGGAGACTCCAGGTGCCCAAGTATCCCCCATCACTAACACCACAGTATTTCCATCTCCAAAGGACACTAACAAGTAGTTGCAAGTAGATCACTAGAGGCTTTTTCATATGTTTAAAAAAGCAGGATGGTGCTGCTGAGCCCAGAGGAGCCCAAGCTCACAGCTGGACTGAGCAGGGGACAAAGAACCACAAGCAGGTCAACTTGGAAAGAGAGCTGGGTGGTTGCATTTGGGAAGATCTTTAAACTGCAACTCATTCCCCTTATATCAATCATTTACAAGTAGTAACAGACAATGCAAAATGAACAGAAAAACACCAAATTTTGCAAAATAGGTGTATTTTTAAATTTGAACCAAGTACATGTATTGCATGAATCACATGCAGGTGAATGCCATAAAAGATAAAAATACCTGTGCACATACTTCAGAAATCCAAGAATTTATCTATAATTTACAAAATTTTCATAGCACAAAATAGCTGTGATTCAGAACAGAAATTTTACACACAAAACTGCATGTCCCCTTGCCTGTCTTGGGACCAGTTGGCTTTAAATACTCAGCTTGCTGTCAAGTTTCTTCCCAATTTTGTCCCACCCAGCATGACATGGCACTTCCACAGAGCTCCAGCTCTGCCAGGCAGCTGTACATCATAAAGCACCTTTAAAATAATGGGTTTTAAAGGTGTTTTAAGGCCTGATGGCAGCACTTCTGTGGGGTGTGGGAGGGAGGGAGACAGAGGGTGAGCCCCCATGACTTTGGTGGCCTGAGTCCAGCACTCACCTGAGGTCAGGTGTGAG